CTATTAAATAAATAAACATTATTCAAAATAAAACTAAGTCAGAGTTATAAAGTATATGGAAGTATGAAATACTAATCATTTAGAAAATATTTTAAAGAAAGGGTTTAAAATGTCATTTCACAAAATTATGAGTTACTTGCCGTAGATTATGTTAAGGCTAATTTGATCTATATAATACTCAGCATTTTACACATGAAATGGTGGGGGTTATTTGTTTTGAATTTCAAAGTTCAGAGTCTAAGATGCTACTTATGTAATAATTTAGGGTCTATGGAGCTTATTAAAAATAACACATCAATAAGGGATTGCCACATCAATATTTTTATTGGCCCCACTAAGTGAACAATAACAATATTAATGGTGAGTTAATGATGAGATTTAATTTGTTATGAATTTAAAATTTTAAAATTTATTTTGTACATTTTAAAAGTTTAAAGTTTAGAGCATTTTTCGGGCAATACTTTAAAGTTTAAAATGTTTATTAACCCATAGTATTAATTATATTTTTTTAACATTACCCCTATTTAACTCATTAACTACGAGAGAGGTATTAATCATGTGGATTAAGGGGTAAAATTAAAAATTTATTATATTTTTAGATAAATTTAATGATTAAATTATCTCTCATTTATTCATGTGAGGTAGCTAGATATACTTTATAATTAGTATAAAGGGAGTAAAGATTTACAAACATGAGACCTATCAACCAAATGGAGTTGGCTTCTCTTCTCCCACTCCCTATTAAATAATCTAGAAGGTCTAGATTAAATATTTATTTTAAAATTTTTAATAAATATGTTTCATTACTAATTTGAATATTCTACATCTAATATGAGTAGTCCAGATTTACTATTAAAAGTTTTTATAATTTTTATTAAATTTATATTTTCTAGTAACATCTGTCCATACTAATAATTAGATTTAATAATTTTTTTAAATTTTTATAAATTAATTATGCAGATATCTTTTAAAAAGTGCATATTTAAATTTTAATATTAAATTAGAACCATACATATTAAATCTGGCTGTTTGAATTGCTTATTTGTTTTAATAAAAGATTTATATTTTTTATTTTAATAAATATAAAATTAATATATATATATAAACGGTTTAGATTTAATAAAGGGCAGACGGAGGGAAGCCAACTGCTAGGTAAATGATGGTTTAAATGTTCAAACATTCTTCAAAAAACCAAAACCAAAAAATAAAATAAAATAAAATAAACACATGCTCCATGAATTTCGTAGGCTCGATCTCAAGCATGTGACCACGTGCTTTTTCAAATGCTCGCACATGCACTGCCTTTATTTACTCTACAAGCTTCCTCGCCTTTTAGGCTGCATTTGTAAAGTGTAAGTCAGCTTTCCAAACTCCAAAGACCATTCCATAATTAAAACCCTTTACGTACATTGTACACTTCCTTTGCTAGTTCTTATCTTGGGGGGTTTGTATATAACCTTAAAAGGCATTTTTAACCTTTAACTATTTATATAGGAGCATATGCTATATATAAATTTTTTATAGTAAAATGTTTTTCTTTAACATTTAAAAATAGTGTAATGTTACCCCTATTATTGATAAATATTAACTTTACCTATTAGTTAACTAAAAAAATATAGAAAATGACTTCATAAGTTACAAAGAATGATATACAAAATTACATAAAAGAACTCCAAAAAAATTGATACAGATTAAGTCTCTTAAGTTATAAGTAAATACCAAGAGACAAATGTTATTATTTTATATCCATGTAAAAGACCATATCATTTAACAAACCACTTTGATTGGCTTAAAGATGATTGATTACTTACAAGTCCTACTATCTATAATTAATGGTCATCCAATCATCACTTGATAGCACATCAAAATAGTTGGTCAAAATGATATTTTGATATTTTATATGAGTAAGAAATAATATTAGTCTCTTGATATTTTCTAGTAATTTAAAAGATTTAATCAGTATCAATATTTTTATATTATTCTTTTATGTAATTTTTTTTAAGATCTTTTTTTTAATAATGTTCTGGTCAATTAACGGTTAAAGTTAATATTTGTTAATGATAAATGTAAAATTATACTTCTTTAATTATTGAAGGAGAACATTGCACTAAATTAAAAATAAGCATCAAATGCTCCTATATAAGTAGTTGAGGGGCAAAAATGTATTTTAATCCATATACATATATATATATATATATATACACATTATGTTAACATGTTAATCTTCTTATATATAGTCTGTTCGTAATGTATAAATGTAAGTTTATTTTGGGCGAAGAAACACACGAATATCAATATTATTACAATATGCAGAGATCATCGAGCATCAGCAGTAGAGGATCGGATCAAGAGTTGTTGGTGATTAACTTGTCATCGGATCAAACAACTCTGAAAAAAGCAAATTCTTGTTCGAAGGATTCATTGTTGCCAACATATTATGACTCTTCTCCTTCTTTTCCTTCATCTTCTGATGATGAAGATCTTGCCAAGAAGAACAACATTCCTCTTCGTCATCATCATAAGCCTTCTGCAGAACATGCCATTCATCTCATTCCTCTCATCCTAATTCTTTGTATTTTCCTCCTTTGGATTTTCTCTTATCGCTGAACAATTACACTTACAGCACTTAGAACATATATACGCGCACACACATATACATACAAATGTCATATTTGATATTTCTCTTGTAAGTTCTTGGCTGGGTTGTAACGTTGTGAGCAATATTTTCCTTCTTCTTTTTTTCTCTCCCCTTTTTGGCCAAATGTAAGCAATATTTTCTTGGTGAAACGAAGATTCTGTATGACTGATCAATCAGATTCAAATTCCCTCTCCCTCTCCTCTCTCTCTCTCTCTCTCTCTCTCTCTCTCTCTCTATGTATGTATGAATATCTTTCTGTCTCTCTCTTTCTTCAATTTAGTTATATTGTTATGTTTCAATATATAGTACTATACTTATTTTCAAATATAAGAGAAACTACCATATTTCTCTATGTTTTTATTTATAAACAAAATTATAAATTTCAAAAAGAATTTATTACATTTTTTTAAATTATCCCTCATAAAGTCAATATTTATTTTCATTGGATATATTTGTTTTATTAATTATAGGGATAATTTAATTAATTTTTAAATTTTTAGACATAATTATTATACTTAACTAATTTTCTTAATTAAACTGTGTGAGTTAATTATTTTCTTTAATATTTAAAAATAGAGGGAGTAATTTGTAGTTTTTTTTGTTCCTGGATTTGTTGACAGAGATAGTTAACCCTTATTAACTATTATTGCTGTCAAAATGTAAAATAGAGAATTTTCTCTCCATCTACATTTTTATTGCTCACAAGTGACATCTTATTAAAAATAATCATGTTCAATATACAACTCAGCTGTTAAATATGAGCACCCTTTCTAGTTGGATTTCGAATTTTGGCTCTCTACATTGTACAGGACGAGCTCCTTCCATCAGATTAAGATTGTTCAAAAACCCAATAGCTCAATCCAACCTAGTGGAACACAGTCCAATTCAGTCCTAAACCAAATTGGTCCAATTCAAACAAAACCAATTAACCCATACTTTTTATTTGAGTTGGATTGAATAAGAGAGACTGAGTTATTAGAGATTGAGTTATTAGACAATTTGATCTAGTCTGGTCCACAATTGTATTATCATATTCATAAGTAGTTCTTCCCTTTCTATTCTAATGTTCGTATAGCAATCTTTGCCACTTGCTTCTTCAAAGAAGAATTACTCAAATCCATGTTCACGAAGTTGACTTTATATCTTTCTTCGCTTCATATCTCTATTGTAGCCATGATAAGCGCATACAAATGACTCGTTGGCTCTCCCTCCCATTATTATGCTTGCATGGGTTCCCATTCTCCTCTTTGTTCTGTCACAGATCCCATTTCTTCTCACTGCTACTTTTCTACTTATTGAAATGTATTTAACAGGAAAGTGGAGCCATGACCCTTATATATATAATGCTATACTTTATGTATAATACCCTGTAAAATATTGATTTCTCAATGTATTCATTGCCATCTTTTATTTTTTAATAATAAATTGTAGTTTTTTGCTTTTATTTTGTGATTTATTTAATTAATTATTTTATTTTTTTGGGGTTAATTTATTCTCATTTTCTTACGAGTTCAATGTGGTTGGTTTGCTTGAAAATAAGAGGTTAATGTGCATTTTTATTGCTGAATTATTTTTTGAATAATACTCAATAGTTTAAACTATTTGTTGTAGCAATTTTGCTACTAAAGTAAATAAACTGCAGTATATTTAATTTGTCCTTGACGTTAAATACATTAATGTTGATTCTTAAAAATGTTGACTGAAATTTAAATTTAATTGAAAATGCCACTTATCATGCCAAGTTGATACAAGTTAAGTTGCATTTTTTACTACTTTTAATTACTTTGAGGATGAAATTGCTATGATACAAATAGTTTAGGACATCATGTGCTCTTCAAAAAATAACTCAGAAGCAAAAATGCACCTTAATTTAAATCCATTTCACATGATAGGTGCCATTTTCATTCAAATTTAAGTCACACTTAGTATTTTTAATGATTAATATTGGGATATTTAATGTTAGAAGCAAATATGTTACATTTTAATTATTTAAGAGTGAAATTGTTACAATAAATATTTTAAGACACTGTATACCCTTTGAAGAATAATTAAGGAGCAAAAAAGTACCAAAGAAAAACAAAAACAAAAAGAACAAAAAGAACGAAAACGTGTTTGCCGTGATCGCTCAAAATCTTGCAATATAACTAACCCTCTTTTTCCCCCTTCATGCAACTAATAACATGAAGATTTCTCCTTCGAATCAAGTCTATCAAAATTTATTTATTTATTTTGTTTGATTTTAAAACGAACCCTTCCACCATTAAGATCTAGACTCGCTCTCCTTCCCGCGAAAGCCTCATCTCTTTCTCTCTCTTCTCTCCCCCCCCCCCCCCCCCTCTCTCATAGTGATCACAATGCCATGAAGAACCTCCAAACTGATGATCGATGTCGAGCAATTCGCTGCCGCCATCGCATCTCTCTAATACATCGCCGACGAACCCTACCGGCTATGATTCCACTTCGAAGATATCATCGCCGGCATCCTCCAGAGCCAAGCTCCAGAAAAGTCCTCCGATTCCGAATCGGTGGACTGCGATAGAGGATGAAGGCGAGCAAAGGAACGAGGAGGCGGTACGTAAACTAGAACAGGAGCGAACCGAAGAAGCTAATCCTACGATTTTGCTTGCATCCTCTTTAGGGCTCAATCACATTCGGACTCGCTCGGCTTCTTCGCCTCTTCGGTTTCCGTCCTTGGCTGGCGCGTCTCCCAGTTCGAGCAAGGATTGCATCGGAACTGAGGATCGAATTGTAGTTTCAACGGATTTGGGTACAAGATTATTATAAACAAAAATAGTATTAGTCGTTATATATTTGGCATATCTTTGCTTTTCAACCTCACCGATGAAACGATTACTGATAACTGCATATTACTACTTGTGTGGTGATTTTTCTCCTCTTAGGAAAGAGAATATATGGAACTCAAAGTAAATTATCGAGAGCTCCTTCCCATGCTGTTCCTCTCACGCAGGTGATAATACTGTCTTTATCAATTCGGAATTATTATTCAACAAAGTTGTTTCAACTCAATTATTTTCTAGCGAGTTAGAGATGTGTAGGTAGCTATCAGGTTTCTCACGTTGCATTTCAAATAGGGTAACGATGACATATTTGCCAAAGAATTGCAGTCCCCGCGCGTTCAAGCAATACTGCGCGTCACAAGTGGACGCAAGAAGAAACCTATCGATTTCAAAAGCTACTCTCATGAGCTCAACTCAAGAGGAGTCAAAGCTTTCCCAGTTTGGAAACATCGTGTATTCGGGCATATCGAGGTACTTTTGATTCCTGTATGAGGAGTTTTTGTTTCAGTTATTTATTCATTGACATGTTCTACTCTGGTAAAATGATATATTGAGAGTGTTATTGCATGAATTTGTACAAGACTTATATTTTTTTTTTATTTTCTATTTTTCGCATATACTATACATAATCACTTTTTAACATGAACATTTCAGGAGGTTGAGGTTGCAATCAGAACTAAGTTGGAAAGCTGAAGGAAGAAGTAGATTCTGACCTAAGTGCTTTTGCCGGAGATTTGGTGGGACTACTGGAAAAAACTTTGGGGTCTCATCCTGAATGGAGAGAGCTTGGAGGATCTGTTAATTGTTGCCCAACAATGTGCAATGATGTCGCCCAGCGAGTTTTGGATGAACTGCGAAGCCATTGTTCAGAATTTAGATGACAGGCGTCAAGAGTTACCGATGGGGATTCTCAAGCAAGCTCATACACGCCTACTGTTTATCCTCACTCGATGCACACGTCTCGTGCAGTTCAACAAAGAGAATGGCTATGAACAAGATCACATTCTGGGTCTTCACCAACTCAGTGATCTTGGCATTTATAGAGAGCAAATTTTGCATGCTGTAGAACATAAATCCATTGGTGGAAACGAGATGGCTGAGGAACAGCGAACCAAGTCTGCAGTTAAAGAACCAGACAGTCAGATAACTCAAATTCAAACTGATCGGAATGTGAATACTGCAACTGACACTTCCAGAAGTGGTGATTCAACTGGAAGCGGCTATAAGATTTCATCCTGGAAAAAGTTTCCTAGTCATATTGAGAAAAAGAGTGAATATAAAGGTCAGGATGCCGAAGATTTGCCGTCGAAGGAAGAACAGGATCAGGTTCATGTCAAAGAAGAAAATGTCGAAAACGTGGATACTGATTCATCCAATCCTGAACAGTCAGAAACTATCCTCCAGAGCTCAAAAGGTACACGGGGATTCTGGGGAGATCCCCACAATCTAACATATGAGAACTCAATGATCTGCAGAATATGTGAGGTGAAATACCAATTGTGTATGTGGAGGAGCACTCTCAAATATGCACTATTGCCGATAGATGTGATTTAAAAGGTCTTAACGTGAATGAACGGCTTGAAAGATTTGCCGAAACTATTGAAAAGATAATCGAATCATGGACACCAAGAAGCACACCTAAAAGCACCCCAAAAAGTACCCCAAAAAGTACCGACGGTCCTGGAGAAAGCTTTGAGAATGCGAGAGTATCTACTTCAAGTTTGCATGATGAGTTCAATGATTTATCTCTCGTGAGAAACAGCTTATCTCGTCGAGGCTCAGAAGACATGCTTGATTCTGTTCCCGAAGCTGACAATACTTTTATTAAGGATGATCTGAACCTTTTGCCAAAAGTGTCATGTGAAAATATTTCAAACACGATCAATGCTCAAAGA